TCCTGAGTAATGTCTTCATGCCACTGCTTTCGAATTCCAGTATTGGATGGTTGAGCTGTTGGCATGGCTCCCAAACTGGCAACGTTGGTGCTTTCACTCATCATGGGGCTTCAAAAACAGAGTAAGAATTGAGGGCAAAAGCCTAGCCCAAGCTTAGTCATCTTACAGTCATAGCCTCTTTTAGAACAATGTTAGGACAAAGCACTAGCTCAGCCATTCCCTAATCAATGGACAAACTTTGCAGAAATAGCTGCACAGACACCAAAACAACATCGTGAATCAGTACACGCTGTCCTACCCAAGGATTTGGCAAATCGCAACAAAAACTACAAAATCCAATGGGAGAGATAGCCATCAATGGCATTTACCCCACTGTTTATGCAAGAAGTGCCATGAGATCAAAACAAAATCACTGAGGTGCAAGGAATAATTCAACTTACTTCTGAGAATTCATGGTTGAATGTAACATCGAGTCAGGCAGCAGATTAGGGGTTTGAACCCCTACTCCTCCATTCACTCCCATTGGATTTGCACCTAGAAAACAGAGTAAATATTCTTAAGTGAACAGCGTCTTTACTGTGCAAAAATCAGTACTTGTTCAGTGATAACAAGGGTCTAGACTTTCAAGTACTTTGACTTTTATGAAGGGAGTTTACTTACCCGTTGCTCTCTTTACCCTCTTCCTTTTAGAAACTTAGAAAAAAATCTGAGGCATAACACCGGTGACCTCCAAGCGAAGCATAACTCCACATTACTCCTCTGCACATCTTCCTGAACTTCTCAACAAACGAGCAACTTCAATTTGCCACATCCATTATGTACCAGGGTCTTTTACCATGACTTCCTAACTAAAGATTCAGCATTACCAACCACTTCTGCTTTTTTTGTTTAGAAGTGGTTGGGTTTTGTCATCATTCAGGGGCTTAGGATATATATTCACAAAGGCTTCAAAAACTTAAAATATCAGCTACCACCTACATCTCACAAAGTCCTCTGTCACCCACTCCATACTTAAGGATCCTACAACTAACTCCAATGTTTGAGCTAAGATATAAAATCTGACAATCCTTTGCAGGAAAAAGCTCCAGTAATTTGTTACGTACCAAAATCTGCTTTTCTCAATCACAGCAGATCTCAATCACCATAAAAATTTGCCTATTTTCTTCACACACTACAGTTAGGACTCAAATAGTGAAGAAAAATGCAGCATATCTTTGTCTGCAGCTTCTGAATAGATCACTTTGTGAAGCTGAGAGTAGCATGAAAGCCATTACCAAGCTTCACATGTATTTAGGACATATGATTCCTACAGAATCTGTATTTCAAACAAAATTAGACACTGCGTACAAGAGAAATCCACTGAAATTAAGGATATCAAGCCTAATACATACCTCTAATATCACAACCAAGTGTTTAATTAACTCTTTTCATAAAGCTGCCTCCAGCTTCCCCTCCCTTAATCACTTTCTTCTCCTTTCCAAATTCACCTTGCCATCTGAGAGCAAGCTGGTGTAGAAGACAACTTGTCAACCTTCACCTTAACTCTTTTTCAACCACCAAAACCAACCATTTGTTTGATCTACTTAGGACTGCACCTTCTCACATCGCAGTCCTCACTAAATCCTGCTGTTTCTCCTAAACTAGCCGTGTTGTCATACAGGCCATGACCTGGTAATTCCTATCTCACCTCTAATTCCCTCCTTAGCCACCCGCTCCTAATAATGAAACAGTCAAAAGTCTATAGTCTCCATGCTTGTCCTTTCTACAATTAAGCTTCAGTTCTTCACTCTCCAAGAGCTTTTCAATCCCATCTCACTGAATTTTAATCAGTGCTACAAGGAGTGCCCAATAAGAACGCACAGGTCAAACCCTGTGTCTATAAACAATAAAAAAAACACAACAAAAAACCCCACAGAGAACCATTTTGCTTCAGAAAAATAGATGACACATTCCCTTCAACCTTTCCAGGCCCTCACTATAACATTTTGGAGCTTCTAGAAATTCATCTATTTGTAAAACACACTAAAACATAGTAGAAAACCATATTATTTTAATCTAATTGTTTTAAGACTAAGCTTTAGGGACCCTTCTCACCGCCTTTTTTCCAAAAAGGCTTTACACACTGGAAGGCAGAGTTTTAGCAGTTTACTAGTCACATGCAATCTATGAGGATCAGTCATGTCATTAAGTCTACTCTACCCAACAGCCTTTTCCCGAGTAACTCAGGAGTAGCATGTCCTTTGGTGCAGAAACAGCACATCCAACTGCAGCCTGCAACCAACTGCTACTTTCCTCCGCAATCTCTCAGGTCCTTCCCCACAGAGCTCCCGTGCACACACAGCACTCGTTCTGTACACAAGCTTGTCACGGGGCATATAGGCAGATTCACTGCAATTCCATACAAGCTTGTGATAAATCTCTACCAGCTCATCTTTCCCCTTTTCCATTAAAAAACCCCACCTCTACTTCAGCAACTCAAGCGAAGAGCCGGGGCTGAGAAAAACTCCTGTGAGGTAATCTCAAACTATCAAAATTAGATTGGATGGTTAAATGTTACTTCATTTGACACCAGGGACAGTCAGGTTAGAATTAATTGCACTTCAAATTAAAATTTTTACAGAGTCTTTTGTGATTTTGCAATAAGCCACCCAGACAATTTACAGTTACATGAGTCCACACGACAGGATTCAGAAAGAAAGTCTGTTATTTACTACTTTATTTTTAAAAACAAACATTACACATCTGAGATACAACTGTAAAATGCTGCAGTCTGTGTGACAAGGAAGTACACTTGAACACAGGCATCCTAGTGCATGCATTTCCAATTAAAAGCTCCTAAAAAGTCTGAAACTTTTACAATTATAAAGCTACAAAACCACATTAAAATAAAATACTTTGGAAAACTGGTTCTCAAAAAAAACCCCAACAACAAAACCCACCAACATTTTTCCAAAGAAAATACCTTTCCCAGAGAACTTGTTTTCCAAGAGAAGGTGTCTGTGCCTTCTAATGTTCCTGTTCCGCTCAGTAGCTTGTTAGCTCAAGTCTAAAATATTGCAAAGCCATCCCTTTTGCAAATCAACTAGCAGTAATTAAGCTAGTAGGTTAAGAAAATTTGCATTAGATAGAGCACGGGGAAGTTGCCTGTAGTTTCTATTTTAACATTAACAGATAAACTTACTCATAGGATTCATAGGGCGCAGACCCTGGGGTGACTGTCCTTGTTGCTGATTCTTCACTTGAGCCTGGGGCTGCGTCTGCATCTGGTTCCCTTGATAGGTCAGTCCAAGGGCTGCATAGGCTCTCTCAATGGAGCTGGGGTCTATCTGACTCGTAGTGTTTATGCTGGGTGTTGTCTGCTGCCCCACGCCCACGGAGCCAGTATTTGCAAGTCCTACTGCAGCTCCGCCCAGCAGCGCTGGAAGAGACATACCAAGTTAGTAAGGACAGCAGGAGGTAGCCAAAGAGGTCCATTAGAGCATAAAGAGTGCACTGGCTGTTCTGAACTAAAATATCTCCTTCTAGGAGCATGCAGAGAAGAGGCCAGGTCTGGAAAGCCTGTCATGAAACTGGGAGAGAAAAGTTTGGACACAACCAGCCATTCCAACAAGAAGTCATTTTCCCTTCGAGTTGCTGAGAGGAAATCCCGCTCTAAGTATTTAGGGCACATCTGTCTGCTTCAAACTGAAAACAGAGACATACCATGTCACAGAGGCCCAAGGCAGCAGGGTACACACAGCTCTTCAGCAGCCACTGTAATGCCTTTTTTTTTTTAATTTTCTTATGACAAGAAATATCTCAGCTCACATGAGAAGAGCCCAGAGCAACATTAAGAAAGGAGAAAAAAAAACAAACTAAACATACAGATAAAGATAACACAGTGACAAAAATCTTGCCAAAGATTTTTGCAGGAAGACCAAGGGGACACAAAGAGAAAGGGGAAGAGACATCTGATGCAAACAAAGAATGAAGACAGAAGCAGGTATCATCAGGGCTGAAATGACATGACCCTCTGTGTGTGTACGCACATCTGTCTCCAGAACCTGACCAACTGGAAGAGGTGGTAGTGAAAAGCCAATCATTTGGCTATGACTTGTTCACCCTTACCACTCTCCTGCTAGGAAAACGCAATAAAGTTAGAAAGCTTCCATAAACACTAGCTATCAGAGACAGAAAAATACTCTGCAACTCTACAGCAAGAGGAAAATCTTATTATATTTTCCCAAGTTCAAGAGCATCACCACTATCACCTGGGTGCAAGAAAGTTTTAACTCCCAACATGCATTTTATGGTTTATCCAATACACAGAATTCCCCAGTAGACTTACATTGTTGATTTCTTTTGTCCCCAGCATTTTTGAGAGGCAAACATACAGGACAGTCATGTCTCGTACAATTCTTCCAGTGCGAGATGATTTGTCGGGAAGACGCGCAATGTGCCACTGAGAAAGGGAGGGGAATGAAAAACTTTTTACAAACTACTGTCAGTATCTCTACACGGTCAACAAGAACTGGGCAGGGAGAAACTGTTTCTCTCAGGGCACACATCAACAGAGGCCAATAAAGCATTACTTGAAATAGTTCAGCACTAACTCGCCTTCAAAATGTAGCTAGATTTCTTCAAGTACTATTGGCTCAACTAAAACTTACTTGAAAGCTCTATGTTATACACCTAAGCCTACATCTCCCTGGCTCAAAGGATAACACCATACACATCAAGCACCAGGTAGACTGTACCAAGCAACCGAGATGCCAACAATTGCACAACCCAGATGAACCTAGGCTACCAAAAAGGTAACATACATTTTCCTTGGCTACTAGGATAGACTAAGAGTTCACCAGTGCCAGTAGCAGCTTAATTCCTGGCTAGCTATTGCTTGAGATTTGTCTCTTCTGTTTAAGGGAGACAGGTAGACTCTTACTTGCAGATTCCTACTTTGTGTCTACCCTTACCACAAGGCAGCATCCGAAAGACCTGACAGGGAGTTACAAAGTTAAGCAAAAGATCTTCACTCATCTCTCTGTGCTATCTTGTCCCCTCTAACTTGTCTAAACTTTAAAGGCTCAGAAGTTTATAATTTCCATTTCTAAGGGGATAGACAGGTTAAAAAAAAGTATTCTACTTCCCAAGCCACCCAACTAGCTTTCCATCTCTTTCTAGGAGCCCTTCTCATCCTGCAAAAGTTGACCCCATCTACACAACTACCCCTCCACTTACCCTGGCAGGATTTGCCAGCCTGACAATGTGTCATGTGGTTCAGGACATTCTTCATGGTTCGGCAATGAGGGAGGTTGCACTGTCGCACCTCCCCGTTGGCCTGTTCTCGCCGCTGACACTTGTGAGCGTGTAAAAGGAGAACTAGTTGCTGCTGAATGAGTTTGCGTTTTTCTGGATCCGCTGTCGGTGCTCCAGACCCCATTCCTTGAGAAGCTGTTGGCCCCATTCCAGCTTGCTGAACTTGGGGAGCCTGCTGCTGGCCCTGGAGAAGGTAAAAGGAAAAATCCCAAAAATAAATCTATTTTTGAGAATAATCTATTTAGCAAATAAACAACAACCACCAAAGAAGAGAAACAACCACTATATTCTGTGATTAAGGGAATAACCCACCTCTCTGTACTTCTGGATGACTCATATTAAATATATCCCTTAGCATCAGTCCTGGCAATAATTCTCTTGCCAGCCACAATTCCTTCCCCATATCACTCTCCTAGTCCTAGCTCTTGCCTTATCAAAAAACAGCAGAACTTTGCACATGCTCACAGGTTAATCTGCGGTGCCAGACCAACCAGAAAATATTAATAGCACTTAGACCTCAAATCTCCTCCTCACTTTGGAGGCTAGAAAGGTGCATCCACAATTCTTGCATTAATGGAAAAAAGTGACTTTTAGAGCGAATAGAGTTTTCCTTCTATTTCAGTATAAGAAGCCTGAATTTGATGGTTCCTAGAAAGGAGTATGAAAGGGAAGTTCTGGAAACCTTTTTCCATCGGAAAACTTGCACGTAGGCATTCAAAACAAGCATCTCCTAGTCTCTGCTAGAGATGAAGCACAACTTCAGGATAATACATGTTACAGAATCAGTGTCAAGTATGGCAACATTTAGTACTACTTCTGTACTTCTGTTTATTTCTTCAGACTTCTTTGTATTTCTTCCAGGTGACATTTGAGGAGTACTCAGTAAAGAGGAGAGGCTCAGGGACTCCGTGTTGCTTGTATCACTTCAGTTCAACAGCCTTCAGTTTCTAACAGACTCTTCACAGAGGGTTTTAGAGGATGTTTCTGGAGATCTCCAGATTTTTAGAGCTCAGCTACCCAGCATTCCTAGACCCCAGTTCTCCCACAGCTCTTTCAATACTAGTACTAACCTTTCATTTTACAAGGAGACCTCACCAATTACCCAGTCCCCTCAGGGTTGGTGCATGTTCCAATATGACCGTAAAGTGCCTTGTTTGCCGCCTGTCATTCTAAATGACAACTGAGATAGCAGCAACTTTTCATTCCTAGGTTCAGCTGGGTAGCAGTTCAACTTCAAAAGAGTTACATACTCTGCAGTGAACACAAGCTTGACAGCTGCAGATCTGAACAGAAAGTTTTGGCTGCTTCTTTCTTGGTTCATAGAACCAACTGGTTTGCTAGACTTCCAATGTTTCATGCTCAACTTAAAAAAAAAATTAAAGTCACAGGATTGAGTTCTTTTTAATTCAAAAGGTACAAAAGTTACCCAGAAATGGTTTTTCAGCAATAGTTACTAAGACCAAGAGACTGACCCTCCCAGGGGGTGGGGAGGTGGGATGGTGGAACTGGAAGCAGATGAAGCACAAACTACATTCAGAAATGTGAATGTATTTCCCAAATTAAAAAACATATGCAGGGGGTAAAAGGGCAGGACATGTTGCATGTCACACCCCTAACCAATTTAAGTTTCTAAACTAATGAGGCATACGCATTCAGCCACCACTGCTAAGCTCAAGCTAGGGAACCTAACGTTAAGGCCTGTCATTTATAAGCTTAGGCCATCCACTTTTTGTCTCCTACTTCCCCTTTAAGTCCTGCCGCAATAACAGGGCGGGAGGAGGGGGAAGAAGGGGGAGGCAACAGGGCTACTACAGCACTAACTGCCAGGGAACCTCCAGCACCAGGACTGTTGGGTGTGTTCAAGTAATTCAGAAGGAACGAACACAAAACTGGGGCTTCTAAGCCCTATCATCGGTAATACCTCTTTGAGAAGGGGTATTTCTCTCTCCCAAAAGCATCAGTGAGTACAAGCAGGAAGACAATCCTCAAGACAAAGCTACACTGAGAAGGGGCCCAATACACCAACCACAAGAGAATGGATGGGAGAGAACAGAGGTTTCCAAACAGATGGCAAAGCTCACTTCAGCTAAGGAGCACCATTTCATGTCTTCTGCTAACAGGGTTTGAAGAGCCAAGAGCGGAGGTGCAGCTTATCAACAGAGAAAGCACAACTCAGCCCTCTCCTTCATATCAGGCTTTTCAGGAGCTGAAGCAAGTGCATTATGTGTGGATTCAGAGCACACATTCACACTGGGGATGACAGCTGCAAAAACTTACAAAACGGCAACACCAGAGCATATTGCTCCACTTCGGTTTACTACAACGTTTTCTGGAGACACCTTTCATTCTACTTACTTTTTTGCCCCAGGAACTGGCTTCTTGTCCATTGGAAACTGTGGTAAACTATTCTGCAGACCAGCTTTATTCTGCATCTGAGGCCCAAGTCCACTGGCTCCAATCTGCTGCCCGGTATTCTGACTATATGGCTGGCCGTATGGGCTGGGATTGCTCATCATTCCCATCTAGGAATTAAAATGTAAGAGGTTCAGGTAAGATAGCTTAAGTTCACAAGGCAGATAAGTACTTCAGAGAAGCAAGAGCGCTCACAGCCACGAACCAGCGGCAATGCAATACTGATCCACATGCTTCCTCTGCTCCTTTATGTGCCTGTATTTACCCATCACACACCATTAACTCCTCAACCAGACAGTTCCTATAAACACAGCAAAGTGAACCTTTGAGGTCAGTCTGGTCAGAATTGACCTGACTATTTCTTTATAAAATGTTTTTGGTCAACAGATTTCTCATTTCAGCTTCCCCAATCACAAATTTGTACCATGGACTATGTAACTCAAGTCTGGAAGAATTTTTCTGCTCCCTGCATCTGTGCAGACTCCAAACAGAGACAAATGCCACCTTCATTCATACCAGCAGGGTTTATCCCTAAAACCTCCTACCCAACTGTCAGCACTCCCACAGCTCCTCTCCAGATAGCCGTCACAATGCAGGTCTGCTTTTTCAGTACACAACTATTTTCAATTTAAGAATACACCACAGGCATAGGTAACACCACACACAGTCACACAGCCGCAGTAACTCATTTTCAGCGAGCAGTACTAGAGGTCAAAGGAGACGGTAGGAAGGAACTCTGCAAACAAAACAAATCTATTGAACCATTCATCCACAAGGGAAGTAATTCATATTTCACACAAGCCATATGCATATTCAACAGTTTTAGCATACCAGAATATACCGTTTGTTGCCTTGGAATGCCCCAGAACCTAAAGAACACTTAGGAGCAATCTTGCCAATAAAGTTGTTTGTCCTCTTGACATTTTTTTTTTTCCATTCCTTGCATTCCCATCTATTTTTCTTGGGAAATCTGGCCTTCTAGGACCAGAATAACTAGCCACAGAGGACCAGGAAAAATGGAGATCTTTGTTAAGATTACCAAGTTCTCACCATGACTCAGGCAGGATCCTCGAGGAGCCATAAGTCATAATAACAAAGGCACAAAAATACTTTAAAGAGCTATATTGTTTCAACTCACATTGAACATTTGACTAGACAAGGTTGGCTCCCCTTGACACTTTTTGGTTCAAGTCTGGGCATTTTCCTGCATCCAAAAAAGTGCATACAAGCTCCTATGGTAGGCTTGTTTCCAATCACTCCTACATTTATTCTCAAAGTATCATCCCCTAGTAGAAACACCTTGTTTCTGCTCCTTTCCAAGCTTCTCCAACCTGCACAGAGAAGTAACCTACATAGAATCATCACAGAATCACAGAATGGTTTGGTTGGAAGGGACCTCAAAGATCGGCTTGTTCCAACTCCCCTTGGTGGACACCTCCCACCAGACCAGGTTGCTCACAGCCCCATCCGACCTGGCCTTGAACACTTCCAGGGATGGGGCAGCCACAGCTTCTCTGGGCAACCTCTGCCACTGCCTCATCACCCTCAGCGTGAAAAATTTCTTCCTAACATCTCATCTAAATCTTCCCTCTTCAGTCTAAAGCCATTGCCCCTTGTCCTATCACTCCCTGCCCTTGTAAAAAGACCCTCCCCAGCTTTCTTGTAGGCCCCTTTAAATACTGGAAGGCTGTTCCAAGGTCTGCCCGGAGCCTTCTCTTCTCCAGGCTGGACAACCCCAACTCTCTCAGCCTGTCTTCACAGGAGACATGCCTGGAGATTACCTGCAATTAGTCAAACACTTTCCTTTTTCAGGTTGTAACATCTGCCAATCCTTTACAATAGCCTTCAGTTTGCATTTACAAAATAAAGCAGGATCAAACCCAAGCTATAGGAAAAGGAACACAAAATTCACTAAAGAACCTGCCACCTCAGACATCCGACACATACAAGTGAAGTCCCTTAAGGACAGCCCCCCTCCTCCACACACAAGCAATAACCATAATCACACAGCAGTAATTCATTAGAGAGCAATGAAAAGAATCCCTACACATGGCAGATAAACAAACTACGCAGCCACCAGGCAGAACTAAAAAAGTTTCCTTTCCTCTGTCTCCTTTGGCACCACCCCTGTCTCGTCTCCACTGCAGTGAAGATACACATGGTGACCAAAGAGGCAGCTGCTGCCAAAACCAGAACAGATAAAACTCAAACCCCTTCCTGCCTCTCCCTCAGAAGACTAGTAAGGTCTTATGTGCCAGGTGAGTAGAAGGGAAAGGGAGAACAAAAATGTCAGGAGTCAGCAAACACACTTTCAAGACTCCTCTCTCCGTCCTTATCGCTGCCTCAAATTGACCAACAGGTTCAAGACTTAGTGAAGGACTGACAGTGGGAATTATCATCTCCTTAAGAAAACAAGATATGTTTTCCTGTAAGATAGGCTTTGGCTCCAGAAAAGATTTTAAAAGCAGGTATAACCCCAAAATCAGAAATTTCTAAGCAAAGTTTTAAAGTTCATTAACAATTATAGCTCCCAAAGTTAGCTGACACGTGAGAATCCACTAAAAGCACAGGCTACGTTGGCCATCACTAACACTGCCCCTATCTGAGTTCTGCAAATCATGCTCCTATCAGCCTTGGAACAAACCCTAACCAAACAATTCAGAACTGAAGGCACATTTTCAAACCTTGGTGTCACAGGGAGACATCAAGATGCCCAACTCAGACAACTGGGGACTTCACACATCGATACCAAAGGATTAGGAATAACTGTGG